CGTCCGCTCGTAGTGACAGGCGGCCTGGGGAGGCCCGGGAGCCCCTCAGAAACCTGCTAGGCGTTGTTTTTAAATAACGTTATTCTGAGGCTTTGTCTTTATGTTTCTAATTAACGTTGTAGGCTTATAAAGTAGTGTCGGTCGGAAGGAACCTCTGGAGGTTATCTGGTCCCACCCACTTCCTCAGAGGAGGCGTGTCTAATGAGTGCCTACCTAGTTAATTGGAAATGCGTTTGAGCCTCATCTAAGGGTGGTTTGGGTTTTGGTTGTTTTTTTTTTTAATAAGACGTTTAATGGAAATTTTCTTATTATTTATAGTGTCTTGCACACTACAAGGCCACTGCATACAACTCAGCAGTGTTTGGTTCCTTTGCCACCTCTGCCTGAGAAAGGAGGAGAAGTACGTTATGGTTTGATCCCTGAGGAGTTTTTCCAGTTTCTCTATCCTAAAACAGGAGTTACAGGTTAATATATACTTCTACGTTTTTAAAAAAATATGTGTTTAGTTATGCTTATTTAGTTCCGTCGGCCACTTCTGGCTGCAGAAAAGGTAAAATATTAGGGAAAATTATTTTTCGCATATGCAAAAGTAGGTTGTGAGGAATGAGCCAGTGCAGCACTTCCTGGCTCTAAAGCTAGGCACCTGTGCTTTAAATAAGGCTAAAAGAATGTCATGAGCTTGATCTTGCAGGAAGATTTATTTCCCTGCTGGCCCTCAAAACCTTTAAACGGAGAATTTTGCCTGTTTCTGAATGAGCAGAAGCAGCAGGTCCTGTGCACGGTGCGAGTTGCTTCCACTTCTGGTGAATGCCGTCGTGGCACCCTTCCTCTTGGTGGTATTGGGTTTCTACTTTTTGTTATGGTAAAAGAGAACACTTCCTGATCTTCCTGTGAGCCTTAAACCAGCTACCTCTTGGGTGTTTGACTATAGTATGCCTCTTTTTGCTTTGTACAAATAATGCTGCTTTATTTTTTCTTTAGGGCCTTACATGTTGGGAACTGGACTCCTGCTTTACTTTCTCTCTAAGGAAATCTATATAGTTAACCACGAGACAGTTGCAGCTGCCTGCACGTTATCAGTCATCATTTATGGTGTAAAAAAATATGGGTCTCGTGTAGCAGCTTTTGCTGACAAACTTAATGAGGTAACAAAAGAAACCATAATTTAACTTTTTAGTAGCTAATAACTATTCTAAGTTATTTGCTTAAATATTTAAAGCAATACTGTGTCCAGGCTGTCATAAAAATCGGAGTTTAATAACTTCAGAATGTTGTTTAAATAAGGTATGGTTTAGATCTTACGTTGGTATTGTTACATAAGCCTTCAAAAATAAAACACCTCGTAACAGCATGAATTATTTTTTTTAAAGTACAATTGATTGTGAACCCTAATTCTTCTGTATTGCCATCCTTTAACATCAACCCTGGCACAATCCAATTTATGCAGAGATTTCTCAAATCTTAATGCAGATTTTCAGAAGTTAATTACAGATCCCTTGTTTTTCTTGCATCGTTACTTTCATTCTGAAGCATATTTTTTGTTTCTTCTTTCAGGAGAAAGTCGCTAACGTTTTAGCTGTGAAAAATGAGGCTATTAAAGATCTTGAGACTGCCATCGAACAGGAGAAGAAGGAGCAATGGCGTGTTGAAGGCCGCAGTTACCTCTTTGATGCTAAGCGGGTATGCGGTTCCAGCTCTACTGTCTACTTCTTCTTCAGTCTCCACTATATAATCCGAGTGACTCTTAAATTACCAACAAGTAACAGACCATTTACTCTCTGTGTGTTGCAGGCAGGGCCAGTTCCACTGCCTGATCCAGTGACTTTTGCTATAGAATGTGTTCTGCTGCTGTTTTCTATTCTTGCCAAACATTAACTCTTTGATTTTTATCTCCTGTGTCTAGAATAATATTGCAATGTTGCTGGAAACTAATTATCGGGAAAGATTACTGACAGTGTACAATGAAGTAAAGAAAAGGCTGGACTATCAAGTGGCTATGCAGAATTTAAAGCGTCAGAAAGAACAAGATCACATGATTCAGTGGGTGGAGAAAAATGTTGTTCAGAGCATCACACCTCAACAGGTACTTGGGTTTTTTTAATCTGCTTTACATTTTAATCTGTACAAGTATTTGCTGTCCATTGATTCTGACTTAAGCCAGGTCATCTTTGGGTGACTTCCAAACATGTCTGCAACGCATTCCTACTGCTGAGTAAGAGCTAACAAGCCCAGTTACTAGGTACCAGATGCTTGTGTTGCTGGTGATTTGAGCTAGAATCATGTGTGGAGGTGTTGCACTGTAGAGCTAAGCTTGTGATAAGATGTATAGCTAACAGGTCAGGGAACTCACTTGTAAAATTCTCTGTGTAAGGCCATGGCAGCTTAAGATCTGCAGGTAGGCTCTAGATGTACTGTCTTTTAAGGAATGAAGCTGAGAACAAAAAAGAAAACATGTTCCTAGCACTGCATGCAGATGCTTTAATGCAGGTCACTGTTTGGATTTGAATCTCTGACTTTGTGAGCTGTAATTATATCCCTTTTAATCTGTAATTCATTTTATGGGTTTAAAAAGGAATATCTAAAATACATTAGAGTGCGTATTTTGCTTGTTTAAATGTCTTTCATGAAGTCTGTATTTTCTTCTGAAAGCTGTTTTCCTTTCTTTTGCAGCAGAAGGAGAGTATTGCAAAGTGCATCTTGGACCTGAAGGCATTATCAAAGAGCGCACAGGCAGCAGTGTAACCACGTCTCCTTCCACTGACGTTTGTCTCCTTACTTACTGTTGGAAACTGTATGATTCTAAAGTATCATTAAACAAACAAACAAACAAAATGCTCTGCTGTCTTTCACTAGCAGTAGCAGCAGTAATTGCCTTTTTGTGTTTGAAGTAGGTAGATCCGTCACGTAAACCACTACAGTTACAGTGGGGGAATATTTGCAACCACAGTATGTGCAATGCTGTTTCGTTCTCTTTTTGTCATGAACGCTTCCAGAACTTCACAGTGAAAAATTCTGGTGCTAATACGGTGACCAGTTTTTGTTTCAGAATTCTGTGTGATAATGACCTATGGATATCTACTGTAATTGTAAACATGTTCTAAAATCAAAATGAGTGCCAGTGCTCCCATTTACCTAGTCCAGTACTTGAAGATGCTCTGAATGAATGTTCTCATTTTGAAAATGAACTGAAAAAACCACTTCCATAAGAAAAGTTTCAAATAGTGACAAAAAGTGTCTTCCTTTTCTGTGGGAAAGAGGATCTAGCTGGCAGGAAACGTATCAAAAGATACCAGAAAATATGGCTTCAACTGAACTCGCCAGTATTAAAATTAAAGCAGTGAAATGGATAAATTTTCTAGAGGGTGAGTTTTTTTTCTGGATTTTCATAAAAGGCATAAGCCTTTTCCTTTCCTTATTGTAGGAAACTTTTTCCCTGAAGGATTTTGTTATATCTCAAATGTCCCAGCTGAGCAAAGTACTTACCCATGTGTTAATCCCATCTCTTCTGTGTTGAGAAGTGATTTATTTAGTAAGTAAGCAAGCAGACTAGAGTGTGTTTACATGTGCCTCTTACACAGATTGGTGCTGCAGTAGGCAAATGCTTATTTTTAGTGCCATTAGTAAAATAGCACAGTTTTCTATGCTTTTCAACACAACAGTTCAGCAAAAAAAGATGTTCTTTAGAGGTAAGAACCTTACCTAAAAGTACCTTAACTTAAGCTGAAGCTGACTTCCTTGGGTTTTTTTAGATCAACATGCCCCATCCCTGGAAGTGTTCAAGGCCAGGTTGGATGGGACTTCCAGCAACCTGGTCTGGTGGAAGGTGTCCCTGCCCATGGCAGGGGGCTTGGAACTAGGTGAACTTTAGGGTGCCTTCCAATTAAACCATTCTGTGAACAGTTCCTGAGAATGCAGAGGTTTTTCATAGTTTCCTGTTTTTTTAATTAAAAAAAAGTGAAGTTGCTCAACTTCCATGTTTGTGTAACCCCACGTTTGAATGACACTTAGATCCTTCTCACAAAGTGAGCGTTTCAACTCCTGTCCTAACGCTTCAGGGGTTTTGTACTAGCAGGTGGCAGCAGTTCTATGGTGCAAGGTAAGATAAAGCTGTGTCACTTGTTGTTGTTACTTTTTATTATTGCAAATAATAAAACGTGCTTTTAGACTTGGTGTAGGAAACTGGGAGGTCTTAACTGTTTGACTCCTCTGGAAGGTGGGCAACAACAGGCATGCAGTAGAAAAAGATGACAGCAACAGAGAATGGGATGTTTACTTTCATGTTGCTGTTGGCAATACTTCCATGTTATTCACAGTGTGCTGTTTGCAAGCCGTGTAGTGAGAAATAGCAGGGTAGGAATTTTGTAGCAGACTGGTATTTCCCTGTCTTTAAGATTCTACTCCCAAATTTGAGAAGAAAGTTATTGTTCCTGCTTTGGTGAAAAAAGTCAATGTAACTTTAGAAAGAAAAAGTTTTTTCAAAGCTGCTTCTGTTTATGAAGATGTTCATAAAGTTCACTGAGTTCTGACTGCTGCAAAAACAATACTGTGGGTGCTTTCTTAGTTACTAAACGTACTCCATCCTTTTGAAAGAAGGCAGCATGTTCATCAAAGTGTAGCGAACATGCATGTGTGTGCACAGGAACAAGACACTGGGAAACAGGATTCATGCTGAGTAATTGCCATGTTTGCTGCTGTGACTTTGTGCCAGTTTGTATAAGATGTCTGAAAAATTGATAAAGTCTGTGAGTTAGAAGAGGGTGACAGGTTTGTTTTGCTCTAGTGTGTGTGTATGTACATGTATATAAACATAACTTTCCCCCCTCCTCTCCTTTTAGCTTCTCTTACTGTTCATTAGTGTTCGGAGAGAATGGGAGGTAGATTCTCAAAAGCAAATCCAGGTATTCTTTAAGGAACTTTCTTAGATGCAGTATGCTTTACTAAGTTGATATTGTCCTGACTCAAAAAGGGCTGCTGCGGGGGTAGCTTAGCAGGAGATGTGTGCACTTGGGGAAGAACTGCACGGCTGCCAAAGGCTGCTGTGGGACAGTAATACTAATAGCTAAATTTTTCTGTCTGGTGTTTCTACTTTCAACCCTCTGATAGAGAAATGTTATACTTAAAATAACACTGACTTCAATAGGCACACGCCTCTATGTAGTTCTTGTTGCTTGTAATATTACTGGAGAAAGTAACATGTTTTAAAACTAGTTTTTGTGTTTGGTTATTTTTTTTCTCTTCATTTCCAGTTACACCAGAACCCATTTCCACTACTGTCACTGTACATACATCTGTGACTGACTTAAAAGCCTCAGAAGTCAAATACTGGATTGCTAAGTAAATGTTTCACCTTTATTTCCTGACTTCAAACACAGAATTCCCTGAGACTGCAGACTCCTGTAAGGGAGGAGTTACATGGAATACATTTTATGTCTTGGGGTTTTAAAAGGTTGCTTATATTTTCCTAGTCTATGCACTAGATATTTAATTCATAGTGATGCTTAATGCAGATGTCTGTCACCTTTTAATCTCACGGGGCTTGGGATAAATGATGTATTTCATAAAGTTCGGTGAATTTGAGCACTACTGATTCTTCAACACCACTGTTAAAACTGAGGATTCTGATGCTATTTTGTGTGTATCAACAGCCATGAAATACTCTACCTATTGATAGCCTTTATCTCTGGCATCTTGTTGACTGTTCTGGTTTTTGCAGTCATCTACCTCTTCAGAAAAAGTAAGTGACACAGTAGGGGGAATAATGGGAGCATGAGGATCCAGACCTGGTGGCAGAGAAGTGCTTAACATCTTGTGCTGCACATCTTAACGTGGATGATGCTAAGTTTCCATGCTCTTTGGGCCACATCTTACAGCACTAGGCTTTCAAAGTAACTTCTGCAGAAGTTACTTTGAGAGAGACTCAAATTACATCTTCCTTGAATAATTAACGTATTGATGAACAGGTCATTCCTGGCAGTAATTCCTCATGAATCATCCCAGGGGCTGTCTTCACAGAATTAACTTTAGCACTGATGGGTTGTGGTGCTTTTTGTTGGTTGTGGTTTTCTGGTGTTGGGTTTTGTTTTGGTTTGTTTTGTTTGTTTTTTTTTTGTCCTAACAATGGCTACACAGAATTCACACCAAATTCATCAGTTGCTTTCATCCTAGCCACTTCCAAGAGGTAGGCCGGGACTTGGGCTACCCTTCTGCTTGGGCTGCCCAACGGCTCCCTTTGCACTGAAGGTCTGTGACAGATTTTAAAAGCTGTGTCTAAGCCAGGCACGCTCTGGTGCTGCTCTGTCATCCCACTCGTGAGCCTCTCTTGCACTGCTGTCTCCAAACACAGTGCAGTCAGCTGAAACTGGTATCCCTCTCGTTCCTAGGGTGTAAGAGATCCCAGCAATATCTACAAGAGGAAGTTCCCTCCCAAGCAGTGACTGAGGAATCTAAGAACATCCAGGTAAAGATCACAACTGTTATTTCTAATACTTTATGGAGACTTAAGATTCTTGATAGAATGGTAAATACTCATTTATGGGGAGAGAAAAGAATGGTAAATATTCATTTATGGGGAGAGAAAAGAGGTTTGCTCTTGTGAGACTCAAGTGTTAGTCAACAGTTATTTTGACTAAGGAAAAGTGATTTCTTGTGTGCATCCAAGACTTCAGCCTGTGTTTATAGTAGTCCAGGGAGTTACCTGAGGAGGTACCTGGACAGTAGGAGGAAAGATATTCCTTCTCTGTTGTCACAGGGCTCAAATGCCATACTCCCTACATATTTTAAGGATTCTGGGGTTTAACTAAACCACTAATTAGGCAGGTTAGGGGAAAATCTTTTTAAAGGGCAAGCATTTCTGCAGTTTTCCTTCATGATACTGATTCTTTGGAAGCCCCTAACGCAGAGTTGACCCAGGATCCTGAGCTAGACTAACAACTGGTCTGATCCAGCATAGCATAGCATGACCGCTTATGGTGTGTAGCATTGAGGACACATGAAACGCAGGAAATTCATGCTGAGATGCAACGCTTGCACACTCTCTAATGTTTGCGGCCTCTTTCATGTCCCCAGAATGAGGTTGCCTACACCACTCTCGTCTTCCAGCGCAGTCAGACACCAATGGCCTTGTGATGATGAAGTTTCTAGGGAGATGAAGACACACTTTCTGAACGTCAAATGCTACCAGAACGTTATATCAAGGCCTACAGTGCTCTGAGAAATGTCAGCACTGCCGTATGTAACAGCTCATTTTATAGTTATAAAGGGGAAACTGATGTCTCCTATTCCAAACTGCTTGCCAACAGTTGTGGACAAATTGCTTTTTGTTCCATTCTTCTTCATCTGTAGAAATCTCCCTCACGCAGTTTCCATTTGTGTGTTTGCTATTGCTTTGAACTACCAAAGGGAGTTGAAAAATGGAAACATTACTCTGCATCTGTTCGTGTCTGTGCCCTTATGTTTCCCTCGTCTGTCACTGACTATAGCATTTTTCTTGTTTTTTGATTACGAAGTCCTCTGATTAGTTATTTTCTGCTTATTGAAGTTATGATAATGAAATGTTTGTATGCAAATGTCTGCTTCCTGATTGGGTCACATAAAAGAAATGCACAATCACAGTGTGACGGTCAAAATTTCTGGAAATGTTCATTCATGTGTTATTGCCCATAGTGTTCTAAATATATTGTAAAAAAGTTAAAAATCATCCCCTTTTCATAAAGTGGGGAATAAGTTACCACTATAGCAGCCACAGAGAAGCTTCTCTGCATGTTGCTGGATGGGAGGTTTGCTGTCCGAGGAAGTACAGCGATCTCCATCTGTTGTTCAACGCTTCTCCTGCG